TGTCCCCCCTCAGTCTTCTCTTCTCAAGGCTGAACATGCCCAGTTCTCTCCGTCTCTCCTCATAGGGCAGTGTTTCCAAACCCTGGATCATTTTTGTTGCCCTCCTCTAGACCATGACATGGATTAAATTAAAGCACCACATTTAGTGGCTGTGCAAGAGCCATTTTCTTTTACTTTATCTCCAGGTTACCCCTAAAAGGATTGAGAGCAACCAGATGCCACAGGCTGATTTGTAAGTCATGTCAGCACAGCAGGACTGATTGCATGATAATACTCTACACCTTAAGTGTCCCTCCATCCACCTCTTCACAAAATAGAGGCTGTTATTTTTGTTCCACCTTTGAAAAACCATATGGAAACTTTAGGCAGGCAAGCATCAAGTGCAAAATGAAAGCTCAGCACAGTGCTTAGAACAAGGCCTCTGGACTCTAACTTGACCTTTCCTCAGGTCTGTTATTATGTTTCAGGCCCCATAATCTTTCTTTTGAAGAAGTTATCTACCTGCAAGGCATGAGGAGAAAATGGCATGTATTTGTAATGAGAAAAATGTAATCCCCATTCCAAAGCATAGTTGAAATGCTTAAGGAACATTAAGAAGCTTACGTGTTGCGAGTTCTACAGTAGTAGCAGGTAGAACTGAAAGCAACAGAAAATGCCCGTGGTAGTTGGCCACTGCCTGGGACTGCTTGACAGATGCCAAAAACCCTGCTTCTTTCAGAGGTACGGCAAGAAATTTAATCAAAAGAATTTGATGTGTTTTGAAGTGAATGTAGCTTCTTGTCTGTTTTGTTTTTCTTCTTTCAGAGAGAGAATTAAAAATGCTTCGCCGTGAAAATCGCAAGATTGTAGTGCTTTCAGCAGCCATAGTGCTGTTGGTGGTGGTGGTTTACACCTGCTGGACAATGTAGCAACCTGTTGCTGCGATATATTCATGATCTGACTAGGATAAGCCCTTCCCTCACCAGACTATCTCGTGGGTGTGATCATCATTCCAATTCAATAAATTCTGACATCTCTAATTCATCATCGGAAACCCGCATCATCAACATCTGAAGAAAGTTAACATAGTACGAATGGATTTGGAGAAGAGGGTGAAATACGGTTGGAGCCACTCCAATTCACCACAAAGGGAGAAGTACTTTTCAACAGTGGCATGCTAGTTATGGAACAGTCTTCAGAGAAGTTCTCCTGGTGCCATTTTTTTCTGTTTTCAGTGCCAAGAGAAGACATTCTTATTCATGAAGACCTTTAAATAACTTAATAGTCTGGGTCTCTCAGTAATGCACATCATAATTATGTTTTATTTTTAATAGCATTTATTGTTTATGATGGGATGCAGAACCTCAGGCCTGAGGGCCAAATCTGATTTCCCTGGGATCCCAAAGTGGTCCCCCAGTGATCTTCCGAGTGCTGTGCCTCTTCTCTTCCAATCACCAAATATTTGGTGGCTTCTGAGCTCTTGTTTGTGTGCTCTTCCCATTCCAAAAGATTGACATGCTTCTCCTAAGGCCTAGTACCTGGCAATGAGCACTTTAAGCTAAAATGTGCTATTCTTTTGCATTTGCCCTTCTCTCTCTCCCATTGGTATCAAGTCCCTGAAGCTTCTCAAAAATTAAATTTGGCCTTCACGCTGAAAGAGGTTCTGCACCATTGTTTTATGGGGAAGCCATATAAATACAGTTAAATAAATACAAATTTATTCTATGTGAAATTATCAGTAATGGCTCCATTTGCCTGCTTTTAAAAAATCACAAGTATAACTAGGCCCTGAACTATCCAGTACAGGGCACTCTGTAGATGAAATTTTCTTTTTTACTTTTCTGCCAGTAAGCCTCTCCAGTCTCTCTTCCCTTCCCCACATCCTTGCACTTTTCTCTGCTGCTGCCTGTGTGACAAGGTGTAACGAGTGTGAGCAGCACAGGACATGAGGGCTTCCTGGGGGCAACAGGGCAGGGAGCATGCTGTTCAATTTCAAAACTTCAATAAACACTACAGTTAACTCAAAAGGATTATCCTCTGGTGCTTCTTTGTTAAATCTCACAAATAATAGTGCCACGTAAGAAGGCTGCATTACTTTATGCATTCAGGGAATGGAACTCGACAGAATAGCCCACCTCCTGCAAACCAAAATGAGTTTGAAAATAATAACATCTAAAGCAGTCAGCATTCATAAGCTACCTGGGAGTTAGGTCAGGGTTAATCTAAACTCACAGATGCAAGTAAGAAGAGCACATCACTCTCTATTCCCATGTATTTAAAAAAAATTTTCAGGCCAGAGCAGGGCTTCTCTTCCTCAGGCCAGTGTGTACACCAGAGCTCTGAGAAAGTCATCTAAGCCAAGAACAAAGAACAGTTGTGAATTAGAAGGATTGTATTGATGCAGAGACAAAAAGGGAAGAGGAGTAACCACAAATGATACACAGCTTCACAGAACACATTGTGTAAACATTCCTTTCAACAAGACATTTCTGACCTCTTTCCCCCATGTGGGCTGGTCAGAGAACAGGCAAGGGCAGACTGAATTACTCACAGGGACATTGCTATTCTTTTTAATATCCCCTCCATGCTATGGGTGTTTCTGCTCTGAACTACCAAAATAAAGTCATTCTCTAATACTGACATCAAGTTGTTCTAAAATTCATTAGGGTCTTTTGCCTGTTTAAGCACACAGGTTTTAAATTGTTAAGTCTTGAAATGCTTTAAAAAGCCAAAAACCCTAATGTACTTTTGGAATGGAAAAAATCTTGACCCCAAAATGACAGTGCAGCCTTTACTAACAGCAATTCCTGGCCCTACAGAAAAGGAACAATCGTTATAGTGGCAGTGAATAAGGCAAGGCACACATTTCAGCTATTATCGTGCCTCCCAATAAACAACCTCTCTCTTCCACTCACTCTCTAGTAATACAAACAACACAAAGGGGCCTGGTGTTGTGACAGTATCTTCCTTTCTGAATTACTCTATGCCAGTATTCATTCCAGGAGGCCCTGAGCTGGGAACATGCCCCTGAAAAATCAAGAACAGCCACTGTTAGTTATGGTAAAGAACCAAAAGCAAAACTGTTCATTTTGGCTTCTCTGATACCATATGAGGTCCATGAGAGGAGGCTCAAAAATCATGCTGCTGCTCCTTAAATACTTTTTAAAACCAATACCATGCAGTTCACATTAGAAGCATTGCAGCTTGTTGATTCACCACAGTCCCTGTTCAATTAAAATAAAGCATCTCTTAATTGAGGTTAACCCTGTAGTTTGGTCAGGCTTCAGACAGAAAACCATCCCTCATCAGAAAGCACTTCAATTTGAAACCTGGCCTATTCCTTCCTAAATCACCTTGAAAACAGAATCCTGACTTTAAGATTGCACACTGGACCACAGCAGTGAACCTCCAATATAAAGCAGCCTCCCCTATTTATGCCTGATCCACAAAGATTACAGCCTTTGTGCAAGTTTTAAACTTTAAACTAAAACCTCTGCCACGACCATTTGCCACTAAAGGGACCTGTAAGGAAGGACCAAGGATACAAAGCAGCAGATAAACTAGACAAATAAGTAAATTGAAGTCTTGAACATTTGTTGACCTTGCAGTGGAAAGGTTCAGAAAGCTGGACCTTTTCACTGTAAGATT